TTACGGTATTCTCGGAATTCTGCGCATTCGAGCGCATCGCTCGTCTTCTCTCCTCGATCAACTGTCGCCGGGCTTGCTCTCTCGCCTCTCTCGCCTTCTTGTTCGCCTCGCTATTGGCTGTGGACTTTGATTTGTGAATCGGTGCGACGCGACGTTTCGCCGTGGTGCCGTTTTGCGGGGTTGAGGCCATTGTCTTTTTCTCTGGCACGGTCTGGAAAAAATGTTGAGAAAATAGATATTAGTAAATAGAAACAGGAAAGATTAATAGCAAAAGTTAATAGGGATCGGCAGAGGTTGAGGAGAGCCAGAAATTAAGTTGGAAACTTAATAGAATTTCCAGAGAGATGTCTTTTCCTCTCAAGTATTAAATTAATAGTATCAATTGCTGTGATGACTGATACAAGTTGAGGAGAGTTAATCAAAGATAAGAATAGTAAATGAGAATTTGAATAACAGAAGACCAGCAAGAGGTTTGCATTTTTAAATTTTGCAGTCCAATAATAAGAAGAACGTACTTAAAGGAAGGATCGTTCCAGATTTTCTTCTCCCAGCACTGTCTTTTTTAATCTTCGTTATTCGTGCACTCTGACGAAAATTTAAAAAAAAAAAAAAAATACCGAAGAGGGAGAGAAAGGGAACCTTTATTCGCACAAACGCAACATGATACATTCGATCGCTGGCAATAGTGATTGATTTTTAATACAAATTATACAAGATTCTTGAATTCAGGAAGTGTTCTTCGTACCCACCGATGTTTAGAAATATCAAGACAAGACTCAGAAAACCGTACACGTACAAATACAACGATAATCGGCAGAGAGTTCGATTCGATCTAAGAAACGTACACGCGTGTCTCACTTTGACAGGAAAACTCTTAGCATCCGACGAATGTGTGCGAACTTTGACATTATCGGGAATTAACTGCACGTATTTCACGTCTTCCAGATAACGATTCACGTGGAACCTCTTCTTCAATGGCAAATAATTATCGAAATCAATCGATTCGATACTTTCTCTATACTTTCGATTCGGCAAACGGCGAGCAACGATAGCCGGACGAACGTTTTGCGAAATATCCGTAATAACGTTGGCACTGGCGTTAGACGATTGTACATTTCTCGCAATTAAACCGTAACTCAGCCTTCTAATGCTCACTCGCTTTTCTGATTTCGAGCTATCACGCTTCGCGACTTTCGACAGAATTTCAGAACTCACGGATGATATTAAGGTAGACAGGAAGTTTCGTATCTCGTCATTTCTTTCTGGCCACGTTGCAATATTATTCGTGATATTATTTATAACGAGGGTTGACTCATTCTTGCTATTCACCAGGCAGGGCGTGAAATTCGTGAGTGAAATGAAACACTGCATGGAGAAATCGTGATTTTCGGGTGTAGGATTCACGATTTGGCTCGCAGCCTCGGAATGGTCGCGCAAGCTCGTAGTATTCGCGTCTCGAGTGTCCAACTGTTCAATGAAATTACTTTCCGAAAGATTATCGAAATTAGATACGCTTTCTAAATGGTTGGAAATTACTTGCTTCAATGGTTTATCTCCCGCTACTTTCAGAACCTTTTTCCTCCTCTTGTCGTAGACTTTCATTCTCTCCAGTTTCACCGATCTATTCACAACGGAGGACAAGTTCATCTGATTCTCCACGTTGTAGATTTGTCTCAATTGACGCAGAGTTTCCTGAGACAATGGAACGAAAGGCCTCGAGTCGCTCAATTTCCAGAAAACGTTGCCAGCCGTCTCGACTGACGAAGCTTCTGCTTCTTTTTCGATTTTTTTC